TTTTATGTAAGAAAGGACTTGTGTCGCTAAAGTTTCGTCGGAAAGAAGTTACGGAAAATTAACTAACGAATGGAGACATAACAATATGTTTGAAATCATTAGGGCATCGTTCTAACCGTAGTTTTTCATGATACGACAAGAATGATAAATTGGCTCAGCTAGGAGATAGTTTAAAATGTCATAAGTTTCTTCACGAATTTCATTATTAAGTATAAAATGTTTTTGTTTTGGGTAAAAAATTTTATAAACTTTTATCTCTTGTACTATATAAAACTAATTCATTAAACTATGAACTGTTTTCAAGAGCTTTCAACAAGTTTTATCAAGTATAGGAAGCGCTGTTATGTAACAATTTCAACTGGAAAAGTTGCTAAAATATTCAATACAAGCTCGAAATAATAATACTTATTTGATAATAATATATTGCTTTGGTAAGAGGCTTTATCTGTCAAAGATATCGAGATCGATAAAATAATAGTTCCCTATTCACCGTAGTTTAGAAATAGTATATAGTTTTCAAACAATATTTATTAAAAAAGTTACCTCTGGCATGTCCCCATCCGGTCACGTGACATATGGTACCGGGTGGAATTTCCAAACTAGGCTTAGGCAAACATATCGGCTGGACAAAAGGGGTGAATGTGATTGGGGCGTTCAACTTTACTAGCGCTATATCTCTGGCCTCCTATAATGATTGAATATACCAAATCTAATGTAGCCATTGTATCCCACACTCAAACTTTAAAACTAAATTAACCTACTTATTTCAAGTGTTAAGGCAATGTCTCATACAGGATCGTTTAACACCAAGTTTGAATTTCATATTTGCTCTCGAATCTTGAGATTTCTTTGGTACTTTTATTGTTTTATATGTAAATTTTTCTGTAGCATGAAAAGTTTAATTTTAAAGGCACATTTTATTGAAACCGTGAAACTTCTAACTATTTCAGTGTCCAATATTAAAGTATTCTAATATTAAATATAAAAACAGAACTTCAATTTAAGTAACAAGCTTGTTAATACAAAAACAACATACTTATAATCATGGCTGGAGACGGCTTAAATGGGTAATGAAG